ACTGCAGTGACACTGTCACGGAGATGTTTGTCACAGTCGGAAAATATTAGGCACAAGCGCCTGCCTGCCTGTCTGCCTGCATGCGCGCAAGATGTTCGAACCGATTATCAAAAAAAATGCGTGTGTGCTCTTAGGACGCAAGGGTTTTAGCGCGTGCGAATAATGCCGGCCGCAATCAGTTTGTTTATAGCCTCGGCTATTCTTTGGTCCTTCATGTACTCGATCAGGCGCTGCGAGAAAGAACAGGTTGTGTATGTTAGTGTGTGTGCTTACCGAAGGGTCTGATTGGAGGCTCTGAAGGATGAGTTGCATTTGCGGGTCGCCGATGATTTGTTGGATTTCTGGGTCTGCCATGGCTCTCATTTGTTCTTCTTGGTCGATGTCGGTGGAGCGTGCTCTTTGTTGGATGGCGAGCATAACGGAGTCGAGACCGCGTCTGCTTTCTTCATGCTCGGGGTCGAGTTGGAGTGCCTTTTGGTAGGATGTCATGGCCTTGTGGAATTCCTTCATTTTGTAATGACACATGCCAATGCGAGAATACGCCTTGACAAAGGCAGGGTCAAGTTCGATAGCCTTCTCGCAGTCCTTAAGAGCGGAAGGGTACTCGAGTAATTGCATGAAGGCAGCAGCACGGTTAGAGTAAAGTTTAGCATCGCCTGGATTGCGTTTGATGGCTTCGTCATATTCAGCTTTAGCTTCAGGGTACCTTAGCTCTTTAAACAGTTTGTTGCCCTGTTCCTTGTGTTGTTCCGCTAGCTCCGGGTTCACGTATTGTTCCTGAGCCCACTTATCACGCAGACGTTCGGCTTCCCGCAAAGACGCGCGAATGGTGCGGTTATTGTCCTCTGTCAACGAACGTTTGTAGGCGTCAATGGCTTCGTCGAACTTCTTCATTTTTAAGAAACACGCAGCACGACGGTTGTAGACCTTTGCCACGTCGCTGTAATCCGCCTTGGCCTCATAACGCTTCTCCAATGCCTCCTGTGTTACCGCCAGACAATCTTCAAACCGGTCTTGTTCTAAGTACACAGCCGCAACGTTATTCAATAACAATAGGTCATAAGGCGTTTTTTCGAAGGCCTCCCGGTACTTCGCCTCAGCCTGGGCAAAGTCACGTTTCTTGTAAGCCGCCGTGCCCTCCGCCTTGAGCGCAGACGCTTCACTCTCCCTCATTCTCTTCTCCTCCATTGCACGATACTCTTCTGTGTCCGGTTGAAGCGAATGGCCCTCAGCCGTCGGCTCGGTCACGGGATCGGATGTTTGTTTAGCCGACGACTCTTGTCCGGCAGCAGAGGCCGCCGTTGCGCCGGCAATAGCAGCGGCGTCTACGCCGAAAAGAGCATTGATGCCTTCCTGTACGCGGACGTCTCCGGCACCTGCAAGCGCCATTTCCAGGTTTCCAGTTTGTCCGGCAGCCTTGACCACACCCAGGATTCGGTCGATATACTCCGGGTCTTCTTCCATGTACTTGGCTATGGTAGGGTCCTGGGCTAGTTTCATGGCTACTCGCATCTTCATTTGGTTTTCGAAAACCTCACTGCCCGGGCCCTGTCTAAGCGATTGTAATCCCTGTTGGCAAGCGGCGTTCTGTGGGTCTGCCTTGATACCCTCAGCATAGGACCTGGCCGCCTCCATGATCTTGCCCAGTCTGTATTCCGCCAGGCCTTTGCGGGCCCAACCCTTGGCCCAGTCCGGTTTGAGGGTCGTACAGACGTCAGCGTCTGCCAGCGCGTCCTCGTACTTCTCCAAACTCGCCCACGCACCAGAACGATTCGAATAGAGCACGTGGTCCTCCGGATCGAGTTCGATGGCTTTGGTAAAACAGTCTACAGCATCCTGGAAACGGCTTTCTTTGAACGCTGCGTTCCCCTGATTCTTCCAGTCAGCAGAAGTGGACATGAAAAAAATGTAAATTTCGCAGTCGAAATTCCAAATCGCCCGCGGATGACGATAGAAACGATTGCCACCGATATGGACGGGACCTTTCTGGATCATGAACAACATCTTAGATCAAGCACATTAGAGATGTACGACAAATTACGTGCAAACAATAAACGAGTTATAATCTGCACTGGACGCGGGTTACAAGCTGCCAAACATGCGCTGGCCGAACAAGAAGGTGGCGACCAAATACCCCTCTTCCCCGGCGTCTACAGCCATGGAGCAATCGCCTTCGGGAAAGATGAAAAAGATGTAGTATACACCAACTTCTTGAATAAGAAATACGTGTTCGATGCAATTCAAAAATTATACGAATGGAAAGAGGAAATACTTCAAGAAGCCAAAACCATAGTGATGCCTGCCGACGCAAGAATTACAGACGATACCTACGTGATTACGGTGTATAAGCCGGAACGGTTTTTTGTGGATTTTGAAACCGAGGTATAGCTTTGTTCCGTCTGAATTATGTTTTTTTTTTTCAGCAATTCCGCGAGTTCTGTATAAGATATGACGAGTGGCATGACGAGCTACTGAATCGCAAGATAGTCGAGGATGACTTAAATGATGTCTTCCACTTCTCCATAACCGCAAACCCAGTTGTCTTGGAACTGTATCGTTACCGAATGCTCAAGTTTCTTGAAGACAATCCTTACTACAACATGCGCGTCATCAAGCCTGTTGTCGAGGGTCTTCACATACTGAATACTGAAGTGGATAAATCCCAAGCACTCGCCGCTTTATGTCAAGTGTATGGATGGAATAGAGAAACCATCCTTGCCCTGGGAGACTCGGACAACGACGTTGAAATGTTAAAATGGGCAAATTACAGCGTGGCAATGGGTGACGGTTCTGACTCAGTAAAATCTATAGCTAAATTCCTAGCGGAACCGTCGGTCAATGACGGATGGTCCAAGGCAATTCAGCAGCTGGTCTTCGAATAAACTTTTTCTGTTGTCGCTTCGTTTATTGGTTTTGCTTGCTCGTACTTGCAGCCTCGGCACCACAGGATCATACCTTCACGCTGGGGCCGGGTATTGAGGTGGTGTTGAGGAAAATATGGACAATCAAAGGTTCGCACACACGTGTGCGCACGCCCGCTAATTATTCTCGGACCATCTCGATTCCCTCCTCGATGGGCGGACCGTAGTAGGCCATCGCGTTCCTGCTCTTGAACCACTCGTTTCTGAGGGCAGATTGGTCCATGTCCACCTCTTTGCTGACAATTAAGGCCTCGAAGGTTTGCGCCCAGACTGCACTGGACATTAGGACAAAGGCATTGAGGATAGTGAACATGAGGTCAGTGACTCGGGAGTCAGTGACGAGCGAGAGCAGTTCGAGGAAGGCGGTGGTGCCAAACATGGAGGCTATGCCCCATCCCCATAGTTCTGCAGTTCCGATGGAATGGTAGGCCTCCATATAGAAGAAGGCAGCTGCGTATAGCACAAGGGAGGCCACATGGAGCAGTCTTATGAACAGACAATATATGGTGATGGGGTTTGGCTGGATGGCTTCGACCTGCCACATGTCGTCATAATAACGCAGTTGAGAGAGGAAGTAGATGGCGAGCAAACCCATTTGGACCATGTCCAGGAGAGAGGCGGCAGAGAGGAACTTGACACCGCAGCGATAACCGCGCGTGTATTTGATACTTCCTTCATCATCACCGATGTTTCGGAATCCGTTGACCATGCAGGTGCCCACTAGGTATTGGAGTGAGAAGACCAGTGCGAGGAAGGCGAAGAGGGAACTAGGTAGCCGGTAGCTGCTGGTTGTGAACATGTAGAAGCCGAGTCCGCGGCCGGAAAGGAGCGAGACAACGTTCAGCGCTGTGAAGGCCGTCAGTTGGAGAAAAAGTCCTAGCCGGAGGTTGAATGATATTAGACTATCCCATAGTGGTCTGCACTGGGGCGAGCGGCCAGGCGGAAGCTCTCCCGGTCTGACAACGTAGGTGAAATACATCCGGAGGGTGCACTGGAGTGCAGTGGTGCATGCAAGATGATGGACCAATATGCTCTCGACGACCCAGGCCGATCGGCGGCAGACGTCTATGCTGAGCGGGCGCGCAAGGTGACTAAGCAGCCCACTGGACTGGTGTGGCAGCAGGAGCCAGAGCTTGTCGACTACGACGAAGGCATTACGCGAGGGGACGGGTATACGGACCCCATTACGTGTTTGATATTTCCTGCCATGCGACTGGGCTTCTTTCTCCAACTCGGCTCGCTGGCCCTGATGCTGTTCATGCACTTGGGCCAGGGAGGCGGGGTATGGACGTTCGATTTGTTCAACGTCGGAGAGACTATGCGGAACTCGGCCACCTTCACCTTCGCAATGTGTTGTCTCTTGTTCGGCTACGGGCTAGGAACAGCCGGCTTATTGCTCTTTCAATGCTTCATAACTGACAACGGCAAGTATAGTCGAGGTTTCCGAGCGGGCTCTAAGCTCTTCCAGTCGGCGCTGTTATTGGATCTCCTGGTGCTTTGCATCCGTTTCATCGCTTTCGTTTACAGTCATCACTTCCTGAACGACCGCTGGTGGACTCACTTGAACCAAACACGCGCGGATTTCTCGCTCTTCCACTTTGGTCATCTGATTCACGGCATCGCGCTGATGCTGTATGGCCTGGGCATGTTCTACATGGAGGTGTATCATGATGAAGGCACGTATGAGGAATTCGGCTGGTCGTTATTGAGTCTATTCGGACTGGCGGGCTTTTTGGAGATCTTGATGGTGTTCACCAACTTCGGCGCCTTCTTCGGGTACGTGCAACTATTGGCGCTCACGGGTGCAGTCATTTGGGCCATGTCATTCGAACCCCTGCTCCACTACCACGCCTCTGCGCTCCACGACCGCACCGTGAACGATAGTCTGCTGGTGAACAACTATGCACCAATCAACGACGAGGCCAACGCCGACGCCTATGAATTCGCTCGGGCCCCTGGCACACGACCCGGTGCTAAACTCGCCTCCAATACCTCCGCCTTCGCGGCCGCTGCTGGTCCTCCAGCAGGCAACAGCTTCTACCTCTAGCCCCTTGTAGTAGGTCTGTCTGGCCTGGCTGGCTTGTCCAACCACGCGTGGTAGGCACACGGTTCAGGACATGCATGCGGTTCAGATCACAGGACATGTCAGTGGCACTGGCAGGTGCTAGAATGGACTGGTCAGTGTTGGGCTCATTGGGCTGGCCAGTAGCGGCGCCGGCCGGGCCGAGGCGGTCTGTGACTGCCGTACGTAGACCTTTTTACCCCATGAAGACAATAATGACTGCCACGCCATCAGCTGTTTTCAGTTGCCAAACGCCATGCTATCGCATGTAGTGCGGGGCGAAGAAAATGACTGTTGCAATTAGATGCCGCTCCAATTTGCTGAATTACCAAGCTCGCCAAGACAGCAGGGTAGGGCTAAGTTATCCTTGGGCAGATGTCCTCCTCGTAATACATGATCTGGAGGTCTGGTTGCAGAAAGCTTGGTTACGTGGTTTCATCTCAGGGTTACTCTTGCTGCGTGGGTTAAAGAAGGCTTGCAGACGAGTTGTGAAGATCTCGGACGGAAATGAGGAGGTACTAGAGCTGTTGGAAATATTGAATGTCAGTGTGGACCAATTCGAAAAGGTAGGGGCTGCTGGCTGCGGCCTACCGTACCGGTTGTGGCTGCGGCCATATCCTCTGGGATACAAGTCGCGTCCGTACATCTGGGACCACCTAATTAGTTCCTCTATAGCTGTGGTTAGACACCATCGAAAAGCATGGCTACGAAATCGAGCGATTAAAGAAGAAGCTCCAGGATGTGCAAACAGAGTCAGCCACCCGCCCCCCAGCTCCACCCGCCCCCCAGCAAAATCCGTCCAGCAAACTCCGTCCAGCAAACTCCGTCCAGCAAACTCCGTCCAGCAAATGTTACTAAAGGGGATCATCCGAGGGGGGCTCTTTGCATGGTCACCGAATCCAGATCTGTATTCCTGTAGACTGGAAGAGATGCTGCCGATGGGAGGAAAAAATGACGGAGTCGATAGGCTCGATCGTGAAACGAGTATAGGTACACTACTTTATTAATTCAACTCTAGAATTTGCAGCTGCGTACGCCTTGAAACGAAACAGCATTGATCAGGATGCCGCTTCTGTCGAAGAACTAATTAATGACTCCGGTGGTCAACTACGGTACATCCATGGGCAGCTTGCGAATCTGGAACAAAGGAATCAACAGCTGGAGGGAAGGAATCAGCAGCTAGAGGAAACGAGCCTGCAGCTGGAGCAAAGAAATTTGCAGCTGCAAGAACGGAGTGAAGAATTAGAGGAACAAATTCTACAGCTAGAGGAAAGAAATCAGCTGCTAGAGGAACTGCTGCACTCAAACATGGAACAAGACGCTGCAGCTACAGAGGAGCATGGTAATCAGCACCATGTGCGGGCGCGTGTGCACACACTTTATAATCTTCGTTCCATTGTCAGATATTAACAAGGTGCAGGGCCCTCTGGCCTCGGAGTTGAATTCCGGGCGTTCCGATTTAGCTTACGGGCAGTTTCTCTTTGGATCTGGGTCTCCTAGAAAAGCTGCACCTCGGGGAATACATTTGAAAAAGAGAGAGTAATTTTTTGACAATGGGGTTCCTAAGCTATGTCAGGGAGAAGATACATGACATACGCACGGGACAGGATGCGAAGCGGTCTCCAGCTGTACATGGTGCGGCATTTTCCTCGGCCGAAGCGCAACAAGTACCTGCAGAGGGCGCATTGCCGGCTAACCGGCCGGGAGACGAACCGACGGATAAAGAAGCAGACAGGACTATGCCGGAACAGAACGGGAGGCAGAAGCCGGGTGACATGCTGCCGAGACACGTTATGAAGGCAAGTACTTCTTCCCAGACACAGGACGAAGGTCCGAACCGAGTGGTATCCCAGCTGTCGTCCAAGCCGAGTGCCTCCGAACAGAAAGGAGCGACCCGCTCGACGTCCACTGCTGGCCCGCGGGCCCAATCCGAGGCTTTTCCGAGGCCTTCTTTGCTCGCCTATGATTTAACTACCGCGCAGTCCCTGGCTCTTTCTGCAGTATCGCCGAAGCAATATCGGGCTCCCGTATCGCCGTGGGCGCCCACCACACAGCCACCACTGCTTACTTACGAATTGACAACCGCTCGAGCACTTATGATTGGTGCCGCTGACCGCAAACAAAATGGAACTAAAGCGACGCAAACAAATATGGAGACGCTGAACTCCAGGATCGACGCTGCGAAATCCGGTACCGCGCCCGAGTCAGATGCTAAAGGACCAGTCGTCAGGCTGTGCTTGTTCAAGACCCATTTAAGTCCTGATCATCAAGTCACCTATAATCAGACCCAAGCTCAGACTTTGCTGTACGGTCGTTCAGAAATGAACAAGTCGGCACCAATTGCGGAAAAGGCAGCGACACACGCCGTCAGCAGTACGCACCAGGTTCTCTACAATGAAACGGTGGCGAGGCAACTAATGATGGGCGATCCATGTGGTAAGCATCATTTAACCCCACCCTGACATGGTGGGTACCATGTGGGGGGTCACGCACTCCGCCCTGACATGGTATCCACCCCGCCCTGACCAGGTATTAATATATGGGCCGGCCTCAAAAAGGGCATTGGGGGCGGGCGTGTAACCCGGGGACCCAGAACCCGAAAGTGATTATCTATTTTAGGCTCTTCTTGTTGTCAGAAGATGGAGTCCCGGTTGGCAGTGTATGAGCTGACTCAAGCGAGGATTCTAGGGGCGGCCAAATATCAACCGACAGACGACTTCGCGGGTTTAACTAATTTAGCGATTTATAACTTAACCGAGGCCAGGATGTTAGCAGCGCGCGTGGGATCCCTGAGAGAGAAGCGTCCCGGTAAAATCGCAGTCGAGTCAAGCGCCAAGAATAGAAGAGTGCAGATGGCTCCGACGGCTCAATACGCCCAGACTCAAGCCCAGATTTTGCGCTTCAAGTAATCAGCGCTTCGAAACACACGTGGCCTGACGATCCCGCTGATCTGTAAATGTTGACGAACCCTGTAATAGATCCGCCAGCATGGATCGGCCATCTCAGGCTGTCTTCCGGGAAGAAGCGCTCAGCTGGCGATGTGAGATCTGACAATTGCCGCCTACCGCCAAGGAATCTTAGTTATAGAATTTTTACTCGATCAACCCAGGAGCATTGCCAAGCCAACTACCTGATTGATACTGGTTTATACATTAGAGCCAACACCCACATTGGTCACAATCTGATTATTAGCCACCCACTCTATGTCCAACCACTCCATGCTAACTACCTTTCGTGGGCAGCCCGGCTGAAGCTGCTTACTGGCTGACGTTGACGTTTCTTGGCTGAAGTTGACACCTACCTTTATTTACAGTCCGATCTGACGGTATGTTCTGTACCTGATCCGAGCATACCTGATTGAGCAGACTAGTGTGCTGGAGACTAGTCTCGTAAAAAGCGCTGGTAGTGTGTGCGATTGTCTTCATTGACAACACTGCCTTGTCTGCGTAATGGTTGGCGTTCCGGTGTGTTGTTGAAGGCTTGGAATGCCTGTCGTTCGTCTCTTTTGAGTTTGTCTTTTTCATGGATTTGTTTAGCTACGTTCATGAGGGAGCGTTTAGCTTCCTCTCTGGCTATGTCCAATGAAAGTCCATGACGGAATCCTTGTTTTGTTCTGGCCGTTTGTATAGGGCCGGATCCATGATGATGGGGATGATGGAGAGAAGGCAGACCTGCACCTGCATTGTTTTTGAAGGCGCCTTCATGCTTAGCTGTATACACATGCTGCTTCAAGTTATCATCATAACGTCCCCGTTCGGCTGGGTGCCCAGGCCCAGATGTTGTATCATGAGCACAGATGGTATTCAAATGCGATACAGCTTCACTTGAACCTTGTGTCACCGTGTGGTAACGACTAAGTTTTTTTGATACTTGATCAGAACTTCTTTCAGACATGCTGTGGGGTCCGGATCAACGGAGTCCAAGCACACTCAACAATCACAAATGGGGTATGCCAACATATTGTGTCCTACACAGAGCTGCTATCTTTGTAGTTGTACCCTACACAGAACTACTGTTAGCTGCAGGCTTCTGGGGATTACGGGACCCTCTGGCGATTTTCAATGTGTCTGCAGCACTCTGCGTCGGTCGTTATGAACTATTCAATCTAGTCGGCGGAGGCTCAGTGGCAATCTCCATTGCTGCATCTCTGGTCGAGATCAGCTACATGTAAGCCATCATTATCAGAAGACTCGTTCTGGTAGATTAAGCGGCAGCCAATGGCAGCCTCTCAGTTTCAGATATAAAAACTTGGTTGGATTGCATGTATGTAACCTAATCGTATCCGTAAGCAATTGCTATTCAGTTCTTATTTCTCAGACAATCTATTTTATTCTTTGGCTTATCGACGTCCGTCATTCTCGGGTATTGATGGCTAGACGATATGGACTAGTCGGAAGCCAATCGATTGAATACTCAGAACACAAATTGTCTGAGGTCCACACTTTCGCTTTTAGGTATCACCCCACGTCCACCCGCCCGATCCTCAACACTGGTCCTCAACACTGGTCCTCGACACTGGTCTCGACACTGGTCGACAACAACAGCCCTCGCTTACATGTTTGTTGCCAGTGGTCGTTTGTTGCCTAACTGGTCGTTACTGTGAGATCTTTTAGTGATGAGGATGAGGAAGAGAGGGTTAGCTAACAGCTTATGAGGCCCATGGCTGTTTATCGCGCCACCCGGTCGTCAATACCGCCGTTTCGCCAATAGGTGCAGTAACCAATAGAAGCCACAAGCAACGCCGAGAAAAATCCTCCAAAGAAAAATGCTATCGCATCTGCGGGTAAAGCCATCGCACACGTGTGTGCGTTCGATCTGGTCTCATAATATTGATATTAATCAATCAGATGTGGATGATTATATTTGGCCAAAACATTCCGGTACATTCCGACGCGTTTGCAAGCTGCTAGCAGTTTCCAAACGAAATAAATATCTTCCCCAGATTTGAATGGAAGGAAATGGATCTCATTCTGCAGTATTTCGGTTCTGAGTGTGATCCAGCCGCTGTGTAGTTTTGGCCTCTGAAAGTAAGACCAGAAATATTGCTCGGGAAATCTCAAGTATCTTTCATCGGGATAGTCTTCATCATACCATTCCCCCAAATCGGGTCTCGCAGTTGTAATATTACAATGAGCTGTAGACGTAACATCGGATCTTATTAGCAGCTCATCAGGTGATCTTTCGGGTTCCATATTTGTCAGCTCTCTTTCTTGTAGTTCTAAGTCTTTTCCCCGATGCCATAGCCGCGTCCACAAACTGACATTCCCTTGGAGGCTTCTTATTGCCCCATTGCTTGCCCCATTGGTTGCCCCATTGGTTGCCCCATTGGTTGCCCCATTGGTTGCCCCATTGGTTGCAGTTGCTCTTCCACCATTTTCATTGCTTGTATTTATTTCCTGATTATTAATTGATCGACTCGTTCCAAAAATGTCAAATTGGTTCCTCTTCCTGTAGAGTTGAGTAAGGTCGTAGTACCACGATCTTAAGTCCCTAAGCTTCCGGTTGCGATTAAGCCTTTGCGGTTCATAGCCGTGAATCACAGCGTCCAATTTATGATGTTGTAAAACATTCCAAACCCATTCGGTCCGTAGTGGATGGGGTATGTCATCGTCGTCGAAGAAGGTGACATAGCGGGGCGACGTCCTTACAAAACCCAGCGCCCATTCCCTTGCAGTTCCGGGGGCCATGGGTTGCGTGCTGGCCACGAATTTCAGACCACGCAAACTGCTCATTGCCTGTGGAACATTGAAATTGAATGAACTCAGAAATGCGTTCCAGTACACCTTCTGCTCCTCAACAGGGAACTCCAAAACAGCCACCGGAGGGGCTGGTTTCAAGGCCTCATTCTGAGTGCCGCCATATGTCGAGAACAATCGCGGCGGCTCAATCTCTTCAGGCTCCATCTTAGCCAGCCCAAGAAGTCTTCGGACCGGTAGCACCAGCCAGGTAGTTACCGTTTCCCGGGCTACCTGGAATATAGGTGTTATTATTTCGCGTTGCGCTTCTTTTGGGTACCAAAGAAATCCACGTACAACTTCGTTTGCACAAACACGCCTATACACTCGTCCAAACACTGACGGCTTGTACCGCGCCTCTATTATCTGATCATTGATTACTTGGACGCTAGTGTCCAATAAGAGCGTATCCGAAGGCAGGTTGCTTAGGCCGACCATGTATATATTTTCTTGAGGCTGTGTCAGTTGATAGGCCTGAGTCATAAACGTTACGGGCAGCATCAATACACCTCGGGCCCCCACTGGAATCAGGCTAGCCATCGACACCACCCGCTTGCGCCGCTCCAACAGGTAGGGGGCGCCTTCGCATGGCACTTCTACACTACCCGTTAAGTGGCCGTGACACTTACCTCGGCCTCCTTGTCGCTTCGCCATGCGCTCACCACTTGACCGGCCACCACCTAGAACATTGTTCAAGTCAAAACCTCCGAATTCGGCATCATCAAACTCAAGACCATCAAACTCAAGAATGGCTCCCTTCTCATGAGCACTCTTGTCGAATCCAGAGCCGTATGTTTTTTGGCCCAGTCCGTCCTTGGCAAATACGTCTTCCACCATCGAGCGCCCATTAGCAAGATACGTCGCACACTCATGTCCCGGTCGGCAGTTAATTCCCCACGATGCTCCCTCACCGCGGACAGCATTGAGACCTGCAATGCTCCTCGTTAATCCAGCCGCGGCAACTATCATATGCCCCTCAGAATTTTGTATGACAAAGTGGTGGTGGCCGTTCCGAGAAATTTATTTACAATTCCCTTCATATCCCAACGGACCATTAAACACAACAGAATCCATTCTGTCAAATCGTCATGTTATCATCAACAATCTAATAACAGCATGCCGTCTTACAAACCAATCGTTTAGGGTAGGACCCTCACAAACCCACTCCCAGTGTCCTACTCCGCCACCATCCCACTCCGCCACCATCCCAGTGGCCACCAGCTGTGGATGGATGATACTTGCATCGTTGCAATACTCATGGTCAGGTATCACTACCTTGGCACACAACACTCTCTGCAAAAAAACACCAGGACTATGCATAGGATCCGAGTATGTACTATGGGCCCGGTCGGGATCCTTATTTGTTGTCTAATTCGTTCCGTGAGACAAGCTTCTTCCGTTGGATGGGTTCCCGGTTTTATTCTGATGTGACTCCGGTGCTACAGACGGGTCAATGGTCACTGGAGATGAGAAAAATTATCGCTGTATTCCTCATGGCCTCCATAGGAGTGCTGCTGGTGCTTCTTATGGTCCAAATAATACGGAAAATAACCAGGTGGAATTTTGGTCACGGAAGAAGGTATGGCCAAGATGGCGAAAAAGGTCAGAGCGAAGATGAAGGAAGTACGTCTTGTGGTCGCACGCGAAATTTGCTGTTTAGATGTGCCCTTGTTATGGTGACTTTCGGTAGTGTTGGTTACGGCGTCTGGTTTGTTGTCATGCAAGCAACTAAGCTGGATGTTGAAGCTCCAGAGTGTGTTGCAGCCAAAGTAATCTATAATATTTATTTTGGATCGTTAATCGATACACCAAATATTGTGTCTTTGCACGACCCAGTTCCTAAGGCGCTGTATACTGGGACGCGTGTGTCACACGATATTAAAAGTAATGATGAGAAGAAGAATAGTGATTATAGTAGAGTAATGAAAATGGTATCAGAACAGGGATTGGATGTCGGTGTTCGAATATTGGAAAAGTCCGAGAAGTTCCCAGGTCTGTCCGAAATTGCACCCTTCATGGATTTATTGACAGATGCCTTCCAAGACCTGTTGGAGCGAAATATTATTTACAACTCTCCTTTGGGGACTTTGAAGCTACCTTGGTCGCCGATCTTGTATACAGACCATGCGCTGGCAGCCACTGAGTACGAGCTCTTTACGGACGATGATGGTGAACCAGTTACCTCACCTCTATTACACCGACTAGCAGGCGGAATCTACACCACCGGTGTCTGGGACTTCGGCTGGGTCTACAGACACCAGTTGCCCGTCGTGCAACTTTTCTCAAAGGAGAAGGTTCCGACCCAGGTTCATGATGCCCTCAAAGAAATCATTAACGCCGGTCAACAGTATGTCAATAAAGTCCGCAACATCGATAGTGCAGTCCTCAGCGTAGCTAACTTCCTCACTAGATTCCTACTTGACCTCCTAGATTTGATCTACAAAAAAAACACACGAATGCTAGACACCCGCTGTCTGGATCCTGACTGCCCTACATACCCTCCTGAGTCTACCACTGATACCGCGTCTACCACTGATACCGCGTTTACCACCGACAGTGCCGCCGACAGTGACAATTCCCGGCGATCTCTTAATGGACGTCGTATGGATCAGGATGCCATTAGCCTGGCAGACGCCCAGATAGACGATAACTTTACCTTTCGCTTTCGAGATTATCTCCAGGCCCCGGGTTCGAAACCTATCATGTACATCGTGGCCGTTTGCGTCATTCTTGTCCCCCTGCTGCTGTTTGTCCAGGGCGTGATCGCACTGTTCTACTACGGCACATCTTTGCGACGAACGGGAAATGCTTCCCGTAGAGCCGGGCATAGAAGTGGCAGGAATGGGGCTCGAACAAGCTTTACACGGCAAGTATTACAAGACCCGCCGGAAGATCGACTAGCTGATAGATTAAGCGTTATTGATGAAGAAGAGCTCCTGAACAGCTCATCAGATTCCAATGAATCCCCGAATGGGAGACGTTCGTGTGCGAAACGTTCGTGTGCGAAACGTTCGTGTCCGGAAAATGGTCGGTCTAATTTTCTTGTCTGCTTTCGTACACCCGTCCGATGTCTCGCATACGTCATACTTTTAATCAATGTATCATTGCTAGCTGGACTCGTAGTGCTCACAATCTTCCTCTCAGGTCGCATTTCTTCTTCTTGCCGGACCATCAACAATGAGCTCTTCATCAAAGATCGATATAATTCGTACCCGTACCTTCGAAGCCTAGATACCACTGATATAGAGGTGTGGAAAACATGCATGTATAATAACGCAACTGGGAACATCCTTGCGAGTAATAACACACATGTGTTTGCACACACACACACACACACGTGTTTGCACACGTGTTTGCACACATGTTTGCACATATGTTTGCACACGTGTTTGCACACATGTTTGCACATTACTATCACGCGTTGATTTAGATTATTGGGAGCCATGGAACAAAAGTTTCAAAACGTTCCAGAATATTTTGACGGAGAGCTTGGTGGTATTCGGTCAAGATATATTTATGTGGTCGCCACAGCCGGTATATTCGGATGAGTTCCGTTCAGCCATTGAAGGGATGGATCCGGAGGAGTGGGCGTTGCCGGTTCCTGATTTAGAAGGTTCGGATGTCTATCGGGCTGGTCCGCCCATAGTGTGGGCAAGTTTTGAAAGCAAGTCATTTGAAGACCTGAACGACCCAGTGATTAAAGCTACATTGACACAATACTGGGACAAGTACTACGTCAAGTATTACAACTCCACATTCGGAGGCACTCGTCGTCTAGAAAGTCGCCATGTCGGAGATAGTCGTCGCCCCGGTCGCAGCGCGGCGGCGGGGGTGGTGCGACGTTTTTACGGACCAGGGGAGACGACTGCGTACATGCGGAAGTTAGTTGGCTCGTGTGAAAGTGCACGAGTGTGTGTCGAATGGGATGTGGCTTGTATCACCCGTTTGCTTGCGGCCCGGCGCGACCCGATCGTGTTGGGCTACAGCTACATGCCCGTGGAGTTATTCACCACCATCCGAAACATGGGTCGTGGATCAACGAACTGGGACCCAGTAACCGACGACGAAGGGACTGATGACGACCAAGGAACTGATGACGACCAAGGGGGCTCGGCCCCACGTCGGATGCTGGGAGCGTTCCTGAAAACGGCGCCGCAACGGCAGTTGTTGCCTGCGCACATGGGGGTGGCTAGCGAAGGGTTGCTGGACCTGTTGCGTTGCATGCACGACTCCGCTGACGCGGCACGGACCGCAGAGTTCCTCTATGCTATGTATATCAGCGTGCCTAAATCCATCATACTGCGACAGACAAAGATGAAACGAGCCGCGATTACTTATATGACCCGGAACGAACGTGTAGTAAGTCAGAACAATCCGACCGGATCGACAGGTACTGCGTCGTCGTCAACAGAAGTTATGTACGAGGAGTCGGAGTTCATTGAGCAGTGTTTGATCGGGCAATATTGCAGTCCTTACCACTTACAAAACGGGTTGTACACAACACTAGGATCGCGATCAGCATTTGTGAAGAAATTGCGGCAGTCGAGTATAGATGCCATGGACATGGATAACCAACTACTGGGCAAGATCTTTATGAGCTCCCTCTCCACCCATAGTCCACCTCTACGCATGTGGCAAAGCGCAGACGCTTTCCAGGCCCAACTTGACTGTCGTTTTGTGCGCGATTCTATTGTCGATCTGCATGGCTCGCTCTGCAACAGACTCGGTCCAAGCCTCACCCTCATGGCCATCCTCTGGACCGGTGCTGCGATCCTCGCCCTACTCTCCTATCTCACCGTCACCCTGTTTGGATAAACCGGTCGGGTGGCGGCGATTGACGAGTGAACGACAGGCCATTGGCGAGGCACGTCAGCTAGGTTCGGAAATGTGTGACCCCAAATCGATCTGATCCAAATTCAGCAGCAACTTAGTAAGCGGTCATGAGCGACAAGTATGACCCTGGGTTCCCGAACCGTTTTGAAAATAGGCCTCTTTTGAACAAACAATTCGGTCGCTTTGGAAAAATGGGCGGAACAAATGACCCGAACGAAACCAGCAAAATTGACTCAGAAAAAATCGACGCTTCAAGGAAGGAGTCGGAGCCGGAATTAATGGCGGAGGGAGCGGCCGAGGTAGAGCCGACTCCGTCAGAGTTGGAGAAGGCGGAAGCGAAATTAAGTCATTGGCAGCACACGAAGAAGGCCGCCGCGTCGTTAATCGAGCCGTCGCCCGTCACGGTCGGCGACCTTCAGAAGGAGTCGCTTCAGTACCACTCGAAGCAGTCTGGCGAAGGTTTCCCCGACGGGCAAGGTGGTTTCCAGAATCTGTCAGGCGAGCGGGACAAAAACCCCTTTCAGCCGGACCCGCTGAGGCGACACCTATTCGAGGGGGGTGCGCCTGCGGGATTGGATATCAACAAGGGCATAAGATACGACCCTATCGAATACTCGCCCACCGATCCGACGGAGTTTAGACCCATCACCGGGGGCAACTTCAGACAGGTACCACAGACACCCTCCTCACCGGTCAACCCCTCACCGACTTACCCCTCACCGATGTCGCCCTCGCCCTCCCGGTCACAAGGCTTTGCGCAGCACGGCGTGGATCCGCTTAACTTCTCTCGGACTGGGTTTACGGACGATCCAGCCCACCCCTCCGTAGACGTCCGCCACCTCGTGGGACCCGACGGGACGCAGGACACGCTCCGTGGCGCCTCGCTCAATGACCGCATCATGATGGGCGAGCCCCCTGTGCATCGTGGCATGCCATCACCGCCCCCCAGTGATGCCACGCCCACCGACATCCGAGCACCCGCCACCGCCCACGACCTCCTTGGACTCGGCGGCCCGGGCCGCGGCCTCGGAGGGCACCAACCAAGAAACTTTTTCTAACAGGCCGACCCCACCACGACCAAACCCACAACACCCGCAAACCTGACGGACTCCACGAGGATAACCCCACGACGGTAACCCTCGCTCGCCACAACCTTCCGGCAGGCCGCAGTAAGCAGGGCTGAGCAGGGCTTCCCTGCTGGGCCGGTGGTGGTGGTGGTAGTGAGTGGGTGGAAATAATTGGGGGTAAAATCGCGGGTGAAGGATGGTTCGGTTGAAGCACCGGTGGATTTGTTTGCAATTGGTGGCGGCACAGAGTCTGAGTAGCATGAGTGAAGCGGAGATAGTGGAAGCAATTGAAGACAGTGCAAGCTTGTTCTGGGGTCAGATGGGGTTAGCGCAGGTGCGGCACCACAGCGCTGCGTGCTACTGGTACCCGGCGACAGGTGTGTGTGTGTTCAAGTGCGCTGCAGACATGGTTTCCGTCGTCCACGTCTCCATGGTCCTCATGAACCACGTTGGACACATAGCCGTTCGGCCAAGAGTCATCCATGTGGCCGCCACCCTCGTACAGGCCCGTAAGTTCCTCATTAAACACTTCCACGAGTGGGTGGCCCAGGAACGGACGGGCCACAAGGGGCCGTCCGACTCGCGGAAAAGGAACAACCGGACGCTGGACCAGGTAGGCGCAATTGAAAAGCACGAGAAACAAATGACCAGAATTACCTGACCATCGGAACTCAACGCCATCTGATGCCACCACCATTCGGCCAGAAACGTAATCGCGTCCGTGGGGCCACACACGAGGTCACTATGCCAAGACGCACGCATGCTTCATCACGTGCGTGTTAAAGTACCGTTAGCGCAAACGCGTGTGCGCAAATGCGTGTGCGTAAATGCGTGTGCGTAAATGCGTGTGCGCTCAATATAGAACATCATTGCACGACTGCTGCGATGAGAAGCTCGAAAAGGGAACGTACTTTATACCCACTTGGACCTTGAGATTGACGTCACTCGAAATAGTACTTGCCGCGAATTCCGATAGGTCCCACTCCTCGTAGGCGTAATCGCTGCCATACTTCTCCCGACACTCGCCGATAGCCTCATCGAAAGTCATATCCATCAAGCCGCATACTACCGGCGCAATAGCACGCATGACGCGTAACCTGTTCATATGATTAGCACTCAGGGACTTGGGGATTTTTCTAACTAGACTGTCCTCCATTGTGGTAAGTGCTTTCCGATATTGCAGTAACCACAGTGGTAGGAAATCGCTTCGGTCCAATACTGTCTGAGGATCCAAGTCCACAACTAAGTTACGGACCAATCATGAGCAGGTGTGCGAGAACACTGATCGGTAACATACATCGGTAACATACATCGGTAACATACATAACCACACACATGTGTGCATACGCAGCTTACTTTTGATTAGGACATCTTGTTGCAATCTCAGGGACTCTTCAACAGCAGCCATTAACATACCTTCGACAGTGGACGGATCGTAGTAGGAACTTACCGGACTCACATACGATTGAATTTTGAGTCGTTGGTTGTTTCCCTGTTGAAGAAGGTATGGAAGGGTGCTATTGAACGCCAGTATTCGCAGGTTGGCTTTCATTGGAAAAAACGGAAGCTTCTATTGCCGTCATGCTTTGTCGGTTGGTCGTTGATTGATTGCGGTCTGATTAGTGGCGGTCTGATTAGTGGCGGCCTGATTGAGTGCGATTAAGGCATCGTGTAACCAGTTCTTGAGATCGGGGAGCTGAGTTTTTCTAAGTTCCTTCCAGCTGGCGTATCCTTCGAGTGCTAGTTCAAGTGTGTTACGCTCGGTGGTGGTTGCGGCGTAGCCGGAAGCAATGTGTTGTAATAAACGTTGACCGAACATTTCGACGATGGTGCTCGCCACGAGCGGTTCTGGTAATTCGTCTGGCCACGCTTTAAGGAGGGCCGCTAGCCCGTCGGGGACAGCGGGTGAAAGGACTGCGGGTTGTGCGATCAGCCATCGCCGCAAGTAACCCAGCAGACCTTTGTAAATCACGGCGTCCCATTGCTTCTTAGCCAGCGCCGGCTTCCATGGCAAAATTGGTGTGGCATAATCCGCACGCATCGGCGAACTTCCCCGTAATGCCTCCAGACTCCCCACCGCCTTGTCAACCACCGCGTCCAAAATTATGTCTTGACACTCCCCCGACATTATAGGCAGCCACGGCGGAACCCACAAGTGCGTGGCAGTAAGGTCACCTGACGACGAGACCTGTCCCGTCACCAACCGCTCAATACCACCACCTGTCGTACGCAACGACCCGGGCTCTCCATCACGACCCGAGGGTTCACGACCCGAGGGTTCACGACCCGAGGGTTCACGACCCGCGGCTTCAAAACCCGCGGCTTCAAGACCCGCGGCTTCAAGACCCGCGGCTTCAAGACCCGCGGCTTCACGAGTAGCAATTCTCGGTCCAGACGGATACCAGAGAGATACAGTGTTCATCACCGCCAGTATGCGGGGAAGCACCGCAGTCTTAAGGAATCGGTCGCACTCCTTCTTGGTTACAAAACGCTCCAGCCAGTTTGTTACCAAATTGTAGCCAGCGTCTGACTGGTTTATCGGGTCCCATTTATTGAGGAACCAGGGCTTCAATATAGGTTCTATTACGCCCCTGGTCATGATCGGGTCCATCATCTGTTTGGCCTGGTCTACTCCACCCGAAGGGATCGCTGGGGGCGTGACTCCATCCAGGGATCCGCCCTCATCAGTGCCGGATCTCGCCAGATAGTCGAGCCAGAAGGTCAGTTGCGAACGACACCAGGTGGACGAGGGCAGCGGCCAAAGCATGGCATCCGCCTCCAGACATCTCGGTAGGAACTGCAGCACGAACTCCAGAATGCCTACACGTGCCAGCTCCAGGCGGTCCTGGAAGTCGGCCAGTAACGCCTTGAACTGGGAAGTGAACCACTCAGTCACTTCCGGAACCACAAATTCGGTCGGCGAAGCCCGCTTCAGTTCCGACCGGCGATCTAAAGCCGCTATCGAAACCGAGCGAGGATTCGATCCACCGCCTAGTCGAACTGGTTCTTCGTCGTCCTCGATGAAGGCCGGAAGCTCCGTGGGCACCAGGTCCGGCTGCTCAGGGATGCCGGCTAACAGCCCCAGTTCCGCCTTGCGCGTTTTCAACCGCTCCGCCACACCCGACTCAATCAGCGTTATCCTTCGCTCAATTTCGTTCAGTCTCTCCACGTGGCTCTGCCTCCGTTTCGCACCCTGGTCCACGGCGACAACTTTCTGGTCGGCACTTTCCCTGACGGGAGCACCGTCCACGTCGGAGCCCAAGAGACGCGTCACGACTTGACTTCTTTTAGGACCAACCCCCGAACGAGAAGCCTCAATCTTAACAAGGCCTCCCAACAACTCCTCGGACTTGCATTGCGTGCTGGGTATGGCAGACTGCTCCGCAACGCCCTCCGTGGCGGATGATTCGTCCCGAAACTCTCTCTTTAAAAAGCCCTCGCTCTTCAGCCTGTTTTCCATCTCCCGCTCGAGGCCTGTCTTCAGCTCCGTCTCTAGCCCTGACAGAGCTGCTGTAGGCTCTTCGCTTTGAGGCCTTATAGAATTCGGCTTCGTAGCATCTCGCCTTATAGCCCCTGGGCCTGAGGCATCTCGGCCTGTCGCAGCATCTTGGCCTGTCGCAGCATCTTGGCCTGTCGCAGCATCTTGGCCTGTCGCAGCATCTCGGCCTGCCGCAGCATCTCGGCTTGTTCCGGTGGGTCCCCAGGATTCGTCTTCGGAATCAGACATCACCTCCCGCAGCATGTTCCTGTACGTCGTTGAAGGTGCGACTCCGAACGGCACCCGATCCCGGCTTCTGAAGGGACGCTGACGACGGTTCCCGGCAGGACCCGGGCGGTACCCGAAGATGTCTGGGTCGAGAGCCTCTTCGAGCCGGTTCGTGGTCAAGCTCTGAGTCGCCAAAGACGGAGCCGCGGTCGCAAGCAGTGGTCCGGTGGCCGCGGATCTCTGGTCCTCGTCTTCGGAGTCCCAGCCGCCGTCGCTCTCGCTCGAAGTCATTCCGTGCCACTTACGTCGCTTGCCACCGCCGAAGCCCTGCAGGCCACCCGCCTTCTTAGAAGCCGCAGGAGTTCCGTGGTCGTCGTCATCCGGTCGGCCTCGCTTGCGTGATTGAAGACCCTCGTTCTTCCTCCTCTGCTCCAAAACAATCGGGCCCTGCTGAGCACTCGCTGGGTCAAAACCCATTTTGCTCAAGAGACTAAAGCCGACACCATACTTGCTCTCCATAACAGACGCCGACATCCTTCGGGCGCGATATCTCTCCTCCACACCTGTACCAGTATCTGCGTCCCCATTGGCTTGTGCGTTCATTTGAATGTCACTATTCACCCGAATATCACCATCGACTCGAATGTCACCATGAACTGGACCATTGCCATCGAGACCAGTCTCCCTCTCCACAGACATTCCAGTATCCCCAGTCTTCTGCCCTCTATGGTTGATAAAAGACGGCCCTGTCGAAGATCCACGACTTACGCTCGAAGGAGGATTCCCATCCGGATGATTATTCCAGCTACCTCGTTGCCATGACGACGGCCGCTGAGGTCGATTCGCCGGTTTGAATTGAATAGGCTTCATTACCGGCCCCTGACGACCAAATACGGGGTCATCATCGCCACTCGACCAGCCTTCATCATCCATACAATATCTTTTTTCCCCCGGATTTCCACGACCCCGTATTTCCACGACCCCGTATTTCCGTCGCGCAATTTCACCATCAAATCCTCGGCCCTCAACAACCCGAAGCAACGAAGCCGCGATGATGGTGTCACAGCGAATCCGAAATGATCCAGCACTGACACGCGGGGAGGTCGCATACTGCTTGCTGACATGTGCTTCCTGCCGCCGTTTGCTGAGTCCCTCACCCAGTCGCCAGTCCCCTCAACGCCCCGCAGTGCATCCTGGGCACACCGGGTGGTGAGCCGTGGAGTGTCGGGAGCCGTGGAGTGTCGGGAGCCGTGGAGTGTCGGGTGCGTCTAATAAACAAACTCTGCGTTAAATATAAAAAATGAGCTGCCACTCAAAGTACGACTCCGATCCGACCAGCTTGGTCGACCTGTTTGATCGAGAGCCGACGTCGCTCCTTGTCGGGTGGGTCAAGAGCGTCTGAAGTTTTTGGTCTCAGCGTAGCCTTGGGCGCGACGTAGACCTGCACCTGACTTGGTATCAACCTTGGATAACACGATTTTGGGTACCTAAATCCTCATTGAAGGAGCCCGTCATGAGAGCCGGGGTCCGGCATGAGAGCCGGGGTCCGGCATGAGAGCCGGGGTTTGGCATGAGAGCCGGCGTCCGTTTTTGAAACCGTGGGGCCGATTAATTGAACAAAGCCTCGGCGGCGAGTGCTCCGATGACACCTGCGCCTAGGCCGATGGCGACGTTTTTGCCGGTGCTGTGACTGCCGCGGCCATGTCGGCCACGGCCCCCATGGGGTCCTCCGTGGCAGTGGGGGTCGTAGTGAGGGTCGTAGTGGGGATCGTGGCAGTGTGGGGGTCCATAGGGTCTGTAGGCCGGTGGTGGTCCGTAGGCGGGAGGCGGTGCTCCATAGGGGTAGACAGGTGGGTAGCCAGTCGGATATTGGGCCTGGTACTGCGGTTGGTAGATAGGTTGGGGTAAGCCTTGGGGCGGATACGCTGGTGAGGCCTGTGGTGAGAGTTGGGGTGAAGCGGTGGGCGGTGTAAGGCCGAGGGCGGCCTTCTGGGCGTCGAGGTCGCGTTGTTGCTTGATTAAATCCATTTGTTGTTTATCGAGTTCCACTTGTCGTTGTTGACGCTCGACCTCGAGTCGCTGAGCCTCCAGCCGGACGCGCTCTTCCTGCTGCCGTTCCGCCTCCACCTGCTGCGTCAGAGTCATGTTCCCACTAGCACAAGCCCACTTGAGTGCAGCGTCTAACTTGGCCGCGCGCGCAACCGAGTCCACGCACACGCGTAAACACTCCACCGCCGCCGGCGACAACTGCCACGAGCTGGAGTGGTAGAGCAAGGCCTCCAGCATTAGCACACACGCCCAGAACTCGTTCTCCAACTCTTCCCGCGTCCGACTCGGGTTGGCGGCAGGCATCATAGCCGAACCGTTGCCCACACTCGTAAACGAAATACCCGCTCCGCTATCCACAACCTGCGAATGCTTACTCACCGTCACACCACCGCGAATAAACCGGTACAACTGCTCCGCCGCCGCAGCCTCAGAAAAACTTGCAGCGCCACCTCGACCTGCACCTTCGCCAAACAATACCACTTCGTTCCGAAACGGATTAAATACACACGCCAAACACTTCGTCTCGTCCCCCTCCTGATCGTAGAGCCGACAATTTGTAAACAACACGTTGTCGTGACTCGTATACCGATTTGTCGTCATCCGCGGCGGCGAGTCACCCGGTACCAACAAATCCATGTACCCCTCGCGACTCTTTATATACAATTGACAGAACCCCGCCGGCCTCTCCACCCTCGGTCCACCGCCACAACATCCCTTCTTCCGGCCCTTCGGATCTACTACGCAAATCACCTTCCCTATCATCTCAATAAAATTTTAACCACCCCGACACCGGTATGCAGCTGTATCGGGCCAATATATATATAAATCGTCAACCAACATATGCTGGCATTGGGCGTCCGGCTAACGCGGACGTTCCCTGACAAGCACCCTGTACCCACTCTTGTTCGCACAACTCCCACTGTTCAGACCTCAAAGTTCTGGACCAAAAAATAGTCTTGCTCGACCAAACCTTTGCCGCAACCTGACAGGGGATTTGCCTTCTTGAACTCTTCCAGGGTCCCTTTCTGACGGCACGTTCTCCCCCTCACGTACTGTTCTCGCGCCGGGTCCACTGACAGGTTACTCCCATTGGATCCGCCGTGATAACACTAACTGTGGACGAGAACACGTCGCCAGTAGGAGGACGATCACCTCGGGAAAACGTGCGTTCATTTGAGGCGCATCTCAATCGGTTTTTCGGCCACGGACAACGCCTCTGCCAACCAACTATCGTTATTGCTGTGGGTGAAGAGGGCGATCACCTCAGAAATTTGGCCGGCCGCCCAAGGCGGTCGTCCCTCCGCCGGGATTCTTCGTCCCTCCGCCGGAACTCCTCCCTCACGGCGGTGAGCTCTCCTCTCACGGCGGTGAGCTCTCCTCTCACCGCCGCAAGGTCCGCCTCCACCCGGCTCACCCGGTCCTTGAGGGACCCCAGCCGAACCACAACTGTTGACCGCGCATCTAAAAGCATAACTATTGATTGAGGAGTCAACCTTACGGGAGAGATCGTGCGCGGTGACGAAGGCAGACCCCACTTGCGGAGATTGGTGAGGGTTGCCATGACGGAACATGTCCATCACGATACCACCTCAACCGACGTCCCAGCGGTGAGGACGGCTGCGGCGAGGTCGGCCGCGGTCCCGCACCGGAACTACGCACCCAGTGTATCCTCTTCCGCAAACACGTGGGAGGTGGGAAATCGTCGGGGGGCCCTCTATGGGGGGATCCCCCTCCGAGTAATCGGAACAAGCATAGTAAGGTGTGCTTGCTTTCGGGCACCTTCGGGCAACGCCATTCCGCTCCACTGCCGACAAAACGTCAGTTTTCCATTTGCGTTCGCGCGATCTTCGTGTTTGTATGCACACACGCGCGCGATGTCTTCCATGTCCCAAATAAATCCGCAGGAGGGTGACTGGGAGGGGGGTGAGTGACAGGGGATTGACAGGCCGCCGGAAATCAAAAATCCGCGTTATTCGTTGCTCGAATGGACTCAAATCTTGGAGTTCCCACCACTACAGATAATGATGATATGAGCAGAATATACACGTGGACGCTCTCAGATATGTTTGTCCTCCATTTTAGAAGGACTATCAGCGGAGCACGAAGAACGGGGGTGTGCTGCCCGCGATGTGGGGAAGCTTCTGTCGGCGGTGACCCACGGGATCCTCTGACCGCTCTACCCGCCCATCTCAATGAGAAGCATTCTTCATGTGGACCTCGCCAGTTTTGTGGAAAGCCGCACTCGTTTTTCCGGTTCTAGCCGCACCCTATAACAGGTATATTTTGGGAGGACGTTTAGAAGTACTCCGGCAATATCTTGAAGGCACCAACTTTTCAAGACACTTTAGCTGCTTGACGACGCGCAGGCGGTACACTCTCCGTGCCGCCAATGTGCCCTCGTCCATGATAGGTGCGCAACAAGCAGTCTTCGTAAACGGTTGGCCGTAAAGTTAGTTGAAGATAACATCGGTCTCAGTAGTAATCGTAATGACCCTCAGTACCTGTGTTTCGACGGATGAAATCAACTGCTTCAGGGTAGCCCTCGTCCACCCGGTAAGGCGGTGGTCCATCCATATCTTGCGGCAGAGACCGCGGACCTTTTCTCAGAAAATTGTTATCTCTTTGCAAAGACGGCTGCTCTCCTATAGAAAAGGACCGCGGTCTCAGCCCGGCCCAGCTGAATGCACAGTCTCAGTTGAATGCATGGTCTACTTCTGGCGGTCTTTGATGTCGCAGTTTTTACTCATACAGTCTGTACTGGAAGGAGTAAGTCAAACATGTTGGTAATGGTACACGAAGAAACCTTGATAAGTTTGTTTACCTGAAACTAGGAGACACTGGAGGTGATCGCACCGTGTACTATGCCCGTTTGGGCATTGTTTAGCTTGAGGCAGGCGCCGCCTGTCTCAGAACCGAAGGTAGGCCGCGACATGAGACTCTGGCAGTGATAGCGATGTAAGTAAGATATCGTTGAAGAGCGCACGCATGACAAGGAATAAGTGTGTGAAGCATGTTGGTAAGGCTTTTTGCAAGCAGTTGTGCGCCACACCGTGGCCTTGTCCATGACGGATTTTTCGTCCACTGGGGCAAGGCCGCTGGTCGTGGTGCCATGGCTTGGTGGGGAGTGCTTGCAGTCCTCACCTTGCCCAACTATTTCTGGTGCTGTGGTCTCGGCTTCTTAGTCGGGACCCAGATCCTGGTGTACGGCGTGGCCAGCAGCCACTCCGGCGACAGCGCAGTCTTCGGGTAAGCCGGTCCTCTCACTCACTACGGTCTACTTTCCATTCTCTCATAGGCTTGCGGCTGTTGTCGCCTACTCTGCTGTTGTGCTGGCGGCATACTACATTGTTCATGCCGCCAGCAGGCCACGCCGTAGACACCGGCGACTGCTTATCACGAGGCGCAGTCGCCCCCAGAAGAAGCTCCCGGCGGCCGCAAGGCGTAGACGGTCCGTCTACGACCTTGTGTAACAACCGCCCATGTGTTCGGTGGGTTCGGGCAAGGGATACCACGGCAGCAACCACCCGATACCTTACCTCATAACATACCACACACCATCGTATTTTCACATTACACTTTCATTTCATGTCTGCTTTGGCACAGTATAGTAACGTCGCAGTTATGCGGTGATTATCTTCATTTATGTAATCGGCGCATTTCATGCGGCGCTTGTACCCATCCAGGAACATCTACAACTAT